CAAAAGTTACTTATGTTCTAAATAACAGTGAGATTTAAAGTAATGGAGAAAATATGGGGACGTTCTTTTATAGTGTGTGAAATATGTGGTGCTTGAAACATGTAGGTATTTTTAATTTATAGAAGAAAATGGTTTCCTGAAAGAGTTATTTGGAGTAGCCATGTTACAGTGGGTGGAAACAATGTTTAGGGATATGGCACAACCATTAGTAGACATTAATTGGGTTTAGATGACATTTAACATCTAAGACAGATAGTAAGATTAGGAAAATAGAGTGGAAAGGATTGGATATGTTTTACCTCAGTGTGTTAGAATTAACTATAGGTAATGCGGCCCGAGATCTCTCTCTCTCTCTGCCTGTCAGAATGCTACGACCCCATCTTCAGACAAATGACCTCACCACAGGAGACTCCTCCTCCTCCATCAAACAGACAGACAACCCGAGCTGAACCAACAACGACCTGAGGCATCCAGAACCATCTCCACCTGAGGCATCCAGAACCAAACCAGCATGCTGACAAAGAGGCAAACTCTCATCGGTCCCTCAAACAGGACATGAAGTTCCAAACTGAGCCGCGAGATTTGGCACAATAGCAGAGTGTGGGACATGAGAGCAGAATACACCACTCCATGCAACAGCGTAGAGACTGAAAAGGAGGAGATGAAATGCAAAGCAGTTGGGCCACTGAAAAGAAGAATTACAGCGGGAAGAAGTGCGGATGGACTGAGGAGAAGACAGGACGGAGGAGAAGACAGAACCAGAGGAGTTGGCATGGGCCAGCAGAACGTGAGGGGGTTGTGGCTTGACGACCAGAGGGGGAGAGAAGGAACACAGGAGTGAGTGAGTTTACACATAAACACACTTATTAGAAAATAATCCTAAAAACACACTGAGGGTAGAACATATTATTCAATCTTTTCATAATATAAACAAATTATTCTTATAGAGATTCTTATTCATGTGAGAATTTGGGGAAGATTTAATTTGTTACAATATACATAGCAGGCAAATCTTTATTTGAATGGAAAATGTTAAAGGTAGAGCTGGAACCAAGCCAAAGAAAGTATTCCAATCTAGAGTATTGGTTTCACCATTGTAGCATGCTTATTACCATAGGAGAACTGTTAAGGTGGAAACAACATTTGTTTGTCGTCCAAGATGTAGAGATTTAAAAAGACACTAGGCAAAGAGCGATTGAAGATTTTAATTTTGAAAAAAACTAGTATAATTGGGAGTAATACATACGGGGCTTTGGATCACTCATTTTAATGGTGCATATTTTCAACAACAAATATCGTTCAGGGAGAATGGGTTGCTCAACCCACCCTGCAGATGTTTTAAATCTTACTTGCAGCTTCAGAGGGAGCGCACGGCACCAGAGTATGAGTTTTAAAAGACAAGTGCCACCACCTCCTAATGCTCATCCATTTAATCAGTGATGACCTGACATTTAGAGATGTTATTTAAAAGGAGAAACATATCTGCCATGAGTGAAAATTCCTGAATTGAACTACAAACCATTAATGAAATGACTTCTGTTTTTAAAGTCCTTGTTAAAGCACCCAAGGTTCCACACACTGTTAAGGAGGTTAGCATAGTTATTTAAGTAGACCAGAAATGAAAATAAATTAGTATAATGAGTTATTGATATTCCACCGGTTTTCACACCATTTCAGGAACTTTATCACTGTATTAGAACAGACCACCCCAAAGCCAGTAGGGCTAAGAGACCAGTCCCAGGGGGAGTTTAGGCTCCAGGGTACAAGGATAGCATAGGGGCGCCCAGGGGAGGCCTAGATGTTGCACTAATTCCATGTCCTAAAATACCGATTGATTACAACGGCCTCTTCTAGAGAACATATTACTTTCATACCTTAAATGATATGAAAGGAGGGAGGGTACATTTCTCATGGGGGACAGTTACAAATGCTATTAGAACAAGACGACCCACCCCTGTATACAGATGAATGAAAATGATGAGTTAGTTTGAATGATGTTAAATTATATGGATGTTCAGAGACCAGGTTGTTCAATGAATGTCCAGCCAATGTGATTCTTTAAATGATGAAATCATGTGAAGAAGTGAGCAAAATAAAATGCTAAAATGGAGTGATCCATTTCAATTTATAATATACTATTCCAAGATGGTATATTTTTATTATTACATTACACTGGTCCAAGATAGTTTATTTCATTTTTATTATTTTTCACTGTTCTAATATGATGGATCCCATGTTTTATAAATCATTGCGATTCTGAAATGGGTCGTTTCTTTTCCCTTTGTAAAAACAAGTGCCTTAACACTGAGCGTGGTATGAGAACGGTTTCTGTGAAAGGAGGGAGGAAGAAATGTTCTGATACCAAGCCATTGCTGCTATTTTAAAGAGCCATATTGAATGTTAACACTAGAAGTTATGCACAAGGGAAAACTTTTATGTTTGAACACAGTCAAAGTATTTTTGTAAAATTGAGGCTATTCGAACCATTCCATTTTGATTGTATGTTTTTGATATGAGTTATGTACTATGCAGAGTTCAGATGAAGAACTCGTTTATTTCAGTATTATACACACCTTTTAGGTGTGTAAGGAGGGACTGTTAGAAATTAAAATCAATATTTTGATGGCATAATGTACCTTAAACATACCGTCAGTTTAAATGCTGTTTTATACTGAAAAACCAGAAGTTCTTGTGCGTCCAGTTGTTAAGCTTTTATTCTGAAAATCCTTCATGACGACATCCGGGACTACCGCCCATTAGTATCATTAAAGTGGCTATTGACGCCGTTAACATGTATTACATATAAAGTTATGAAAGAGATAAGGAGGAGAAAAGGCATGTGGAAGTAAGCAATGAATGTAAAATGTCGAAATCCTCTGTTTAACGCGATATCGGACACGAATGAACGAGAGGGGGAAGTCCCTTACGTCACTACAGCTCACAGAGAGGAGGAGCGAACAGCGAGCAAGCGGGAAGGACGAATGCTTGTACGCTCTCTTCTGCACGGCCGGCACCTGGAGAGGAAGCTGCAGACTTTCTCTCCAACGGACAAATATCCTGTTTGTGACTTTACCACGTTTTTTATTAATTAAAGTACCAATTTGAAAACATCTCAGAGACTCCATTTAGTCTCCTTTTTAAGCTTCTCTTTCCTGGACGCGAGAATAACCATCACAGTTAACAGTTGAAAGCAGTAATATTAAGTTCAACCTTATATTTTTGTATTTAAACTTCATATTATTGCTTTCAACTAACTAAATACAATTTTACAACAATTCAGTTTTTTCAGTGTAGCGGTGGACTGTCAACTGTTGGACTTAAATACAGATGTGTAAAAAATGTACTAGTTTAGATTCATTATAACTTTTTTGTAAGTTACTTTTATTTTGGGACTTTATGATTTTTTAAATATTTGTTTTGGGAAATAACACGTTTTTTTTCTCCAAAATATATTAGAATTCTACTTGGTATTAATGTAAGTGTTATAGTTATAACATGTACATTTAATTTGAATTAGTAAATAAGTTTAAGAGTCGTTTTCACTAAAAGGGTCCATTTGTTATATTTGTATTAGGGCTGTCAAACGATTAAATTTTTTTATCAGATTAATCACAGCTTTAAAATTAATTAATCATGATTAATCACCATTCGAACTATGTCCAAAATATGCCATTGATGTATATTGTTGTGGGAATGGAAAGATAAATGAAAGAAGGCGGATATATCCATTTAACATACAGTATCTATGTTTATTAAAACATTTTTCTGCGTGTCAAAATGAAAGACAACCCACACACCTATCAATCATCAAACCATGGGGTCTTAATTCATTACGTGTTGATTTCTATCAACGGGGGAGTACTTCAGGAAAGTCGACGGAGGGGGGGGAGGGCGGCGGCGGCTAGTGGAGTACTTCGTGACCACAGAGTGTGAACGTTGTGTTCAGCTGTTTTAGCGCAGTTCTCCAGTGAAGGGGGGGGGGGGGGGGAGTCTCCCTCCGCAGCCGGTTGGCGTAGTTTTGGCACAATTCCGTTGTACAGACCGACGTTAACAGCAGCCCTGTATGTGCACACGGAGACCGACTCTGTCGTCCGGTGATCTAACCGCCTTCTGGAAAAGCTTCACAAGTACGTCGGTACGCAAATGCGCTTTGTGACACAAGTGACGGTACGCATTTCAGATTACGCACATAACCTGCGTACCAGTTATGTGCACCCCGTACTACAGCAAAAGTATTCTCCGTCGGGACTTCCTGCAACAACACCACGCCGTTATCAAAGATGTTCTATTGAGAAGACGATCACTACGTGACAAAAGTTTTAAAAACCGTGGCTGCTGAAATCAATCTTACTAACAGCTGTCTGTGCAATTTACTCCGCACGAGTTGGCAGACTTTATTTCGCTTACTTTAACATCATTTTTCATGGTGGGGCTAAGCCATTTCTTGGTATGGGTGTAGCCTACCCCAGCCATACCCTGGCGCTGCCACTGGTGGCATGTATGGGGCGGGCCATTCTGCACATGCGTTAAATGCGTTAAATATTTTAACGCAATTAATTCAAAAAATTAATTACCGCCGTTAACGCGATAATTTTGACAGCACTACAATAAACAAATAAATCCAGAAGGCGGCAGAGTGTGACGCTGTGATTGGTCTAAATGTGGACGAATCACAAATCACAACAGACACATGAATTTATTTGACATAGCCTGCGATTTTTTGTTTTAGTTACTATCTAACATCAGATACATCGTAGCATAAAAGTTCACAGTTTATTTATAATTAAAAAAATGTTTTTTTTTTAAATGTTATAAATAATAAAAAAACGTGTATATTGGGGGAGGGCAGGAATGTCAAATGGGAGGGCCTGGCCCTCCCACGGCGCTGGGCATGGTTATCATGTCAATCATTAACTGTCAGCTCAATGCTTATGTAACCGGTCTGGTTTGACGCCACATGTGATCTCTGCGTTGTGTTATGTTGTGTAAATGAGAACGACTTCTTTCTTGCCAACCAGGATTTATTCTCTGTGCAAAACAGAATATAATAATTAAAGCAGGAAATGGCTTCATCAGCTTTCTAACTTCACACTTCTCCTCAGTGGGGCCTGAAGCTAACTCAGGAAAGTATACAGAGTTCTAAATAATACAATTAACAGATATACATCTATCCATGGTGGCAAACCAGTTTTTCCTTGTAAACCAATATACACAAATATAACCATTAATTTACACTTACATAACAAACAATACAATTTACAGTTACAAAATACAAAAAGAATACCCACATACCTGTGCAAAACAGAATATAATAATTAAAGCAGGAAATGGCTTCATCAGCTTTCTAACTTCACACCTTCAGTGGAAGAAAACACGCACATGTTAGGTTAGCATATAGCTAAACTTTAGAAAGCTCCCAAACACTGTTTGAAGCGCTGCACATTATATAAACTACAGTCACACACGGCAAAATATAGATATTAACTGCAAATAGGTTTGGCTTGTGTGAAGTGTAACATTAAACAATCTATTAACATATAAAATACAACATTTATGACACCACTCGTTCCACTTACTTCTCCTCAGTGGGGCCTGAAGCTAACTGAGGAAAGTAGCGCGAGTCTGCAGAAATGTGCCGGTGCCATGAGTACCAAAATAAAACGTACTTTTCAAAATAAAAGCATCTAAAAAATAAAGTGACAGTGACAAGTTTTACAAATAAAGTATGGACAATGATTTTACTGAAATATAAACAAGTGAAGTTATACATTGGTTACACTTAGTAAAAGTAGTATCTGTTGACAGCAGAGAGGAACCTGCTGGAGGATTTAAAACTACAGCACCAAGAAAAATTAATGCTCACTCGTAAATGAACTGCAGTGTATAGAATATACAGTAAGAGTCTTCACTCTATCTTTGGATACCATTTTTTTAAAGCAATAGAAAGATACCTCTGCCAAGGCTAAACTTGCCTATAAAAATATAGTTTTATAATACAACACAATACCATACAATTATTTTCCTATTATGATTTTTAAAAGCTATTTCCTAGCTCATAAAAAGTTAACAATGAATTGATGTGTGTATTATTATTTTACTTTGGATCTTTAACAACAAATCACTTGAAGACACAGAAGGAAAAAAAACACACAAAAGCTAAACCTATGTCATGCTCTGCCCTGCTAATTTGAATAAAAATAACATTCTCAGATCATTTGTCGCTCCTCTTTTTCCTGCCCAGCGGATTGTTGCCCTTTGTCCCGGCCGAACGGTGGCTGCTGAAGGGTTATCATCAGACCCGGCGCCAGAACAAATCTGAAGGGAGGGCATATGATTTTCATGGGAGGGCACACAAAACCGTCACGTGCTGCGGGCCTGCGGCACAATATACATCAAACAGCAAGGCCAACAGCATTGGGTAAAGACGCACACTTATCGCAAATACATACACAAATAAAGGGCAACATAGAAACCACTTTTGAAACCTTGTGTGCGTGGCAGCACAAACACTGGTAAATCACGAGCAAGGCACACTGGTTAAGGATGGCAGCTTCCTCATCGTTGCACTCGGAGAGAAATAGAGACGGAGACGATGAACTGTTTAACCCGCCTTGGGCATGGTTTATTTTCCTATGCACTGCAGGTGCATCCTTTCGCTCAGCCGAGCTTAACTTAGAACATTATTTTGGCCAACTCTGCATCTTTGTACTGCAGCGTATACTCAAACAGTATTAGGAAGAGCCCACTGCCTGACTCGGACATGCTGTGGAGTGAATCGTGGTCACCTCTGAGAGGGAGTTGGTTGACGGCTAAAAAAGCTATAATATCAACGACAGCTGACACGTAATAACGGTTCCGTGCCAGCTGATCTGCACCAAAGTTCTAATTTCCTTATTTGTTTCCTCGCGTATCTGTCTCTCTCTCCACAAACTCTCACATGAAATGTGTTCTTTTGATGCTGCATGCATTAGCAGTCCTTTATCAGTCTGTAATGCGTGTTTCCAGTCGCAAAAACCTTTGACAGTAAAAGCCGCATCAGATGAAGACGTATTTACTTTAAAGTGTCTACAGGGGAAACAAAAGGCTGCGTCTGCTTTTAACGAATATTCAAGCCATGGTCTGTTGTTGTACCAAAGCAAAGCAATCTCCCTGGATAACGATCCAGTTTCATCTGGTTGGGTTTATTAACCCCAAGATCATCTGGGGCTGTTGGTCTTTGAGCGTTTGCTTTTCAGCCAATTTCTGATGTCCATTTTGTAATTCAAACAGAAATGGGAGTCCACAGAATGCACAATAAACAAATAAATCCAGAAGGCGGCAGAGTGTGACGCCTTCTGGATTGGTCTAAATGTGGACGAATCACAAAACAGACACATGAATTTATTTGACATAGCCTGCGATTTTTTGTTTTAGTTACTATCTAACATCAGATACATCGTAGCATAAAAGTTCACAGTTTATTTATAATTAAAAAAAATTAAAAAATATTTTTTTTAAATGTTATAAATAATTAAAAAACGTGTATATTGGGGGAGGGCAGGAATGTCAAATGGGAGGGCCTGGCCCTCCCACGGCGCTGGGCATGGTTATCATGTCAATCATTAACTGTCAGCTCAATGCTTAGTAAAAGTAGTATCTGTTGACAGCAGAGAGGAACCTGCTGGAGGATTTAAAACTACAGCACCAAGAAAAATTAATGCTCACTCGTAAATGAACTGCAGTGTATAGAATATACAGTAAGAGTCTTCACTCTATCTTTGGATACCATTTTTTTAAAGCAATAGAAAGATACCTCTGCCAAGGCTAAACTTGCCTATAAAAATATAGTTTTATAATACAACACAATACCATACAATTATTTTCCTATTATGATTTTTAAAAGCTATTTCCTAGCTCATAAAAAGTTAACAATGAATTGATGTGTGTATTATTATTTTACTTTGGATCTTTAACAACAAATCACTTGAAGACACAGAAGAAAAAAAAACACACAAAAGCTAAACCTATGTCATGCTCTGCCCTGCTAATTTGAATAAAAATAACATTCTCAGATCATTTGTCGCTCCTCTTTTTCCTGCCCAGCGGATTGTTGCCCTTTGTCCCGGCCGAACGGTGGCTGCTGAAGGGTTATCATCAGACCCGGCGCCAGAACAAATCTGAAGGGAGGGCATATGATTTTCATGGGAGGGCACACAAAACCGTCACGTGCTGCGGGCCTGCGGCACAATATACATCAAACAGCAAGGCCAACAGCATTGCGTAAAGACGCACACTTATCGCAAATACATACACAAATAAAGGGCAACATAGAAACCACTTTTGAAACCTTGTGTGCGGGGCAGCACAAACACTGGTAAATCACGAGCTAGGCACACTGGTTAAGGATGGCAGCTTCCTCATCGTTGCACTCGGAGAGAAATAGAGACGGAGACGATGAACTGTTTAACCCGCCTTGGGCATGGTTTATTTTCCTATGCACTGCAGGTGCATCCTTTCGCTCAGCCGAGCTAACTTAGAACATTATTTTGGCCAACTCTGCATCTTTGTACTGCAGCGTATACTCAAACAGTGATAGGAAGAGCCCACTGCCTGACTCGGACATGCTGTGGAGTGAATCGTGGTCACCTCTGAGAGGGAGTTGGTTGACGGCTAAAAAAGCTATAATATCAACGACAGCTGACACGTAATAACGGTTCCGTGCCAGCTGATCTGCACCAAAGTTCTAATTTCCTTATTTGTTTCCTCGCGTATCTGTCTCTCTCTCCACAAACTCTCACATGAAATGTGTTCTTTTGATGCTGCATGCATTAGCAGTCCTTTATCAGTCTGTAATGCGTGTTTCCAGTCGCAAAAACCTTTGACAGTAAAAGCCGCATCAGATGAAGACGTATTTACTTTAAAGTGTCTACAGGGGAAACAAAAGGCTGCGTCTGCTTTTAACGAATATTCAAGCCATGGTCTGTTGTTGTACCAAAGCAAAGCAATCTCCCTGGATAACGATCCAGTTTCACCTGGTTGGGTTTATTAACCCCAAGATCATCTGGGGCTGTTGGTCTTTGAGCGTTTGCTTTTCAGCCAATTTCTGATGTCCATTTTGTAATTCAAACAGAAATGGGAGTCCACAGAATGCACAATAAACAAATAAATCCAGAGGGCGGCAGAGTGTGACGCCTTCTGGATTGGTCTAAATGTGGACGAATCACAAAACAGACACATGAATTTATTTGACATAGCCTGCGATTTTTTGTTTTAGTTACTATCTAACATCAGATACATCGTAGCATAAAAGTTCACAGTTTATTTATAATAAAAAAATAAAAAAATAAAAAATGTTTAATGTTATAAATAATAAAAAAACGTGTATATTGGGGGAGGGCAGGAATGTCAAATGGGAGGGCCTGGCCCTCCCTGGCCCTCCCACGGCGCCGGGCATGGTTATCATGTCAATCATTAACTGTCAGCTCAATGCTTAGTAAAAGTAGTATCTGTTGACAGCAGAGAGGAACCTGCTGGAGGATTTAAAACTACAGCACCAAGAAAAATTAATGCTCACTCGTAAATGAACTGCAGTGTTTAGAATATACAGTAAGAGTCTTCACTCTATCTTTGGATACCATTTTTTTAAAGCAATAGAAAGATACCTCTGCCAAGGCTAAACTTGCCTATAAAAATATAGTTTTATAATACAACACAATACCATACAATTATTTTCCTATTATGATTTTTAAAAGCTATTTCATAAAAAGTTAACAATGAATTGATGTGTGTATCATAACAAGGCTAACGTGAGTTAATATCAGTTGCGTGCCTCAAGCTCTATCTGTCGTCCCTGGAAACAGTGGTTATGGTCTGTGAGTAATATGCAGCATGTTTAATCGATGCTGCCATGTTGGTGATGTTTTCTTATTTACTGGTGTTATTTCCATTTGCATGTATAGTTATGAACCCTGACAAACTGTTTGTTACAGGGCCCTGAAGTAATGTGAAATTCTTATGATTATTCTTTTTATTAGGATTTAACAGATTTGGTAGAGATTTCTTCTCCTTGAGTGCCATCTACTTTTGTGGATTTTTTTCATGTTGTTTATTGTATCAACAATTATTTTGTGATTTATACAATGATTTCCATCAGTGATTTCCTTTTTTGTCTTTATTTCTTTTATAACAAGTACCAAAATATCTCAAAACACATACATACTTCCATGACCCATTATCCATTGCCCAAATATTTAATCAGCATTTCGCTAATGTATGTTCCACACTACTATCTGACTCCTATCTGACGACTGGTATTTCTAATAGTAACTCATACTGCAACAGTTCTTTTTCTTTTAAGAAAATTCTACCACACGAAGTTCATAATGCTATCACAGAATTAAAAGTGGAAGGCAGTGCAGGACTCGATGGTATAGAAAACAGGTTCATAAAACTGGCGTCCCATATTCTCATGTACCCATATGCTGATTTGTTCAACCTGTCTTTGTCCAGTGAGTTGCCGACTATTTGGAAATGTGCACGCATCATTCCACTGCATAAAGGTGGTGATTTACTTGATACAATAATTATAGACCAATCTCTATAATCTGCTCTATTTCCAAAGTTTTGGAGAAAATAATTTATAATCAACTGTCACATTATCTCAATACTTATAATATTTTATCTCCGGTTCAATCTGGTTTCAGGCCTAATCACTCCACAACAACTGCCCTACTTAAATTTACGATTGACTTGTACTCTGCTGCAGATGATGGTGAACTCACAGGTGCCATT